CCCGCCCCCCGCCAATCGGCTTGGGAGCCCAGGAGACACCGGTGGGATGCTCGCACCAGAGCCCTGGGTCGGGATGCAACAGTTTAGCTCAAGCGTTTTTGTCCGCTGAGATCTTCCCCTTTTGATTTTCTGACGCTTTTTTTATTCCTCCCAACTTCTAGCAGAGGAAAGTTTGCAGGCAGAGGTGAGCGTTTCTACGGAGATGGAGCAGATCACTTGGAAGACAGCCCGCCGAGCTTCTCCAGACGTGCTATTCACATGCAGGCATGGCACATCCACTTGGTGCAAGATCATTGCATCTCTCCTAGCCCCAATTTCTCCAGTTAACTTTTCTCCCCACCCGTCCCCTCCCCATTCAAATCCCAGCAAACACCTGTTAGACTCCAGCAGGGGCTGTCCTGTTGCAGGGGTTTTCTGGATCCTTTTTCCTCTTCTCCCTTACGAAGAGATCCGAAGCAAGCGGTGATGGAGACACTGGGAGGAGGTGCCGATGCCTGGAGCCTCGGCTGCCTGCTGCCGAATGCCTCGGGAAGCCTCTTCCCCTCCGCTCCTTACAGGTGCTGCTGCCAGCGCAGCCTCCCCTCCACAGACGCGTTCGGCTTTTGCATTGCAACACTTGCCACCAGACGGTAAACAGCCAGAGCTCCCCTAACGCCTGGTCGCCGGCAGCTCAGCGCCGCGACTGCAGCAGCAGTAGTCCTCAGGCAGTGGATGCACGCACTCGCACACACCCCACGAGCTGTGCGCTGGATACAGAAAGGAGGCGACGCAGCAAGCCCCTTATCACCACCCTCCCCTCCTCCTCCTCCTCCTCTTCCTCTCCCGGGCAAGGCAGCGAGCGGGAGACCTGCCCGGTGGCCCTTTGTGGGGAGAGTTGCGAAGGGGCCCCCGGGGTGCAGGCAGGGGCTCAGGGTGGGCAGCGGGAGCTGGTGGACCCCAGCTGCCCACCCTTGCCGTCCCCACGGGCTGTGGGTACCTGCTTTTGACAGAGCCGCCTCCTGGGGAGCCGCAGACACCCAAACAAACGTGACTGCGATGAGCAAATAGCTGGCACCAGGTTTTCGGCAGGGGAGTGAGGACACCTGGCCGGCAGCAGGAAGGTGGAGGGGGGCAGGCAGGGGAGCTCCAGCCATAGCTCTCCCCTGCCTTTCCCTCATCCTTACAGGATGGCCCCCTCTCTGCCTCACTGATTTATTGGAGGCTTTTTGCCTCTCTTGCCTTTCCTTCCCCCCTCTCCCGCCTCCCCTCCCCCCCACGCCCTCAGCTCCAGTTTTCTAGCAGAGACTAGATAAACCCCCGAGAGAGCAATTTCCTTGTCATTGCCATGTTCTCCCTCTTCCCTTTGTCCCCCCCCAGTGCCTCTGTGTCCCTCGAGGCCAGGATCTCATGCCAGCTGGGTTTATTCACCCCTGGCTAAGTGGGGGCCAGGCTGCAGGGGTACCAGGGCAGGGAGAAGCAGCGGTGCCACGATGCTGGGAGCAGAGCCTGGTGTCAGAGCCTGGCACCGCACTGTGGCTAATGCCCTGCGCAGCCGACGCTGAACCCTGCACACATCCATGCCCCAGGACATAGGGAACAGGAGGTCCTGGGGGTCCCCTTTGCAAACCACCCCTGCTCTTCAGCACGCTTTCAACAGCTGGAGCCTAAAATAAAGCCAGTTCAGGCTAGGAACAAAACAGAGATTTGCAACCCTGAAGGCAAACAACTATTGAAAGAATTTATCCCCGAGGCAAAGGGGATTCGCAGTCACTTGCAGGCGCTGAGGCAGGGTGGGATGTCCCATGAGCAGGAGGGGGGAGGCTGTGTGCTGGTTCCTTGCAGGAGCTGAGCTCAGCGGGGACCGCAATGGCAATGGGCTTCAGCCAGCCAAGCCCCGGAGCTGCGTCCTGCGTGCCCTGGGCCAGCCCCAGGGCTTCCCCGGGGCTATCGAGACAGAACCGATGAAGGTGGGGTGGTGTGACAGCACCGGATTTCTGATGCGCTTTCAGACTCAGCCAGGCTTCTCAGGATACCTCCCCCTTCTTCCTCTCCTCCACACACCCTCGGCAAAGCCGCCCGGTCCTCCCCTCCCTCCCCGGGGTTGCACCCTGTGGTCCCAGGCAAGCACAGGGGAAACCATGCCACCCAGTATCTTCACTTCAAAGAGCTCGATTCAAAAGCAGTTCGCTGTACCTCTGCAAACGTTACAATCCTTCCCTGGACTAGAAACAGCTCACAACAGGTCCAAATCTGTTTCCTCCAACCGGGAACTCCTGCCCCAACAAAACATGTTGCGTGGCCAGGCCTTAATAACAGAAATGCCCATAACGCACAAGTTTTAAGATGATGTCTGACTGAAAGTACATGTGCCATCACAGCCTGAGACCTCGACAGCTGACGTGGTATATTGAATTTGGCAGCCCCACATACCCATCCACAATACCTCTTTTCTTCAAGAAGTATATGTATACATGTATAGGTGTATACACACACTCACTCACCTTTGTTTATGAGGCACTTTATGGCATCCACATATTCATATTAAATAAATACTCCTAATTTCTTATTTGGGTTAAACAGCAGGGTAAAAATAACT